CAAATAGAGTAAAGGAAGGGAAATCTCTTCCTTAACATTTAAGTGTCAGAGGACCTGCACAACTTTACTTTATAAAAGACTTTTGGAATAGAAGAGTTTTGGTTTGATTGGCAAACATAAAGGAAATGAAATGCCTTAAAATGTTCTTTACTTCTACTTAAAGAAAATTAACACACTGTATTTGACAGCTAATTATATTAAGGCAAATATACTAATAGTTATCTCAAACTGGTGCTAAGTGGCTCATTTCTTGAAGGTAGTGAAATCATGTGCATTTATTGAAAATCTCTCTTTAGAAAAGTTCTAAGTTTCCAAACATAGAGAATGATGGAAAAAATGGATGTTGCTGCTGAGAAGGTGGTAACAGGAGACAGGTAGCATGTTCTCACATCTTCACCTCTGTTGTTAATGTATGCAGTGGCTCATCAGAGGTAGCTCATGTTAATTTATTCCTGCACACCTGTACAGGGCTGGAAGTCAGGTAATCAGACAGGCAAAAACTATACAGCTCTGCTTTTTAGCTACAGCTACCCAGAGGCCCATATAGGAACAAATTTAGTTCTGGAGACATCAGCAGGTTTTAATAAACCAAATACAGATGTCTTCCTCCATACAAATCAAGAAGTTTACATGTTTAAATCTGGACTGATTTAACTAGCAATCAAAGAGAAGGTTCACACTTGGCACCAATGGTTGCCTCATATTTATTTATAAATCACCCTAAGCAAATATTATTTTGTTTTTAAATTTATTCACGGGGCTGACTCATCTTTCCTACACCTTGAAGATTAAACATACATGCTTACCTTTCTAATAAAATTTAAGACAAACGTGGCAATCAGTGGCCACTACTCTCAGAAGAAAGGAACAAAGATGGTAAAGATCATGTAAGATGTAAAACAGATAAATAGTTCTTTCTATGCAGATCATCTAGTTTCCATGTACAAAGTCTTAATTTTAGTTGAGGGAGTTTTAAAATTGCTAGTCACTAAAACAGAAATAAACAGATTTTTAACATATTAGCAAATGATAAGAAGTTTAGAAAAGAGGACAGAAAGCCATTTATTTGTTGTTTTAATAAAAGCCAAATGTAACTTATAAATGAGCTTCCCTTATACCTAGGTGATCCATGGCCACTCAGCCCAGGGATCAAAATTGAAGACAGGTGATGAGAAATGACCAAAGGTAAACTAGGCCCAGCTAATTCTGACTCTGACACATCTTCAAGAAAATTTCCTTTGTGAAGACTAGGTTCTAAGCCAGTCATAATTTCTTCTTCCCAGGGAGTTTTTCATGTGCATACTTCAAAATGGAGGGTCAGCTCCCTGATCCCTGAAAGAACAGCATCTTAGTAGCAGAAAAGTCAAAGGATAAACAAGAAGGAAGGGTGTTTAGGGAGTGTCAGGTCTAAGACTACACAACATTATCAGTTAATACTTAAAAATTTTAGCAATCTCCTTACAGTACCACAGTTCTTCACAGAGCAAATAATTTACATTTCACTTCTATAAATCAGAATAAAAATTATTCCAACAGCCACATGGTAACTGGATGAATTGAACTTTGTGTATACTGCTGTTATTAGTGTGAAATGTTCTTCTTTGCTTTTGAATTTATTATACTCACACTCAGTCACAACTGTAAAAAAAAAAAAAAAAAAAGGATAACTTCAACATCGTGCTTAGAATCCTTGGCCCTAACAAACCAAGCATGCAACGCCCCTCCCCACAAGGCTTCTCCCTTTGTATGACTTTAGACAAAGAACATTCTTGCTTTTCAAAAAGCCTTCAACATGATCTTATAAAATCTAGAAAGCCCACAAGCAAAGACCTGGAAATCACTAACTGCCAAATGTAAAACACAGTATTTAACATCTTTCTACTTATATCTTACTAACATACCTATTTAGAGACCAGAAATACAATTATCTCATCTACAGCCATTTTGGAAAAAGCCCAAGAAGACCTGGGTATCACTCCTGTAAGGTGTTCTAAGACCGAAGACAAGAAGACTGCTTTTATAAACAAAAGGAAGAGGGTTATTCTGTTAGTTTTATCACAAGACATCCTGTAGCCTTGCACACGTCAGCCCCCACTCAAAATCCCCTCTAATGCTTTATTTGCACAAGGAAGACACCGTGGAGTCAAGGATGGATGAATCAAGACTCTGGGGAAAGGAAAGAAATAGGCCTGAGGACAACAGGATTAAAGGCAAAGAAGGGTTTCTGTTTGGGAAGGTCTGTTGGCTCAGAGAAAGGTAGAGAACATTTGTCTTAGCTTCATCGTGAATTGAAGAAGAAAAAAGCAGGGACACATGTCCTGGTGTTCTCATGATTAATACAATAAAAGTGAAGAGAAAGGGGAAGGTAAGTCCAAATGGTAGATCAGATATGTGGTCCAAGAGGCTCTGTGAAACAGAAGATTAAGTCATAACATCAGTGGAAGAAGTGATGATAACGGGCTGAAATGGTAGTACAGTTTATGTTTGAGCTCACTCTGTAGAGATGCAGGAAGAGGCAGGTACCTCAATGGCATCACTGTTTCTGGTGATGTGGTGGTAGCTATGCTTGCATCATTATGTTAATTCAAGTCACAGACTCAACAAGGATGAACCTTTTTGTAAGGACAAAAATGGCAAAGTATCATAGTTTTTGTTAAGTTTTTAACTCGAGATTAAAAAATGTGCATTCTTGAAAAGCAAAACTTCAAGTGAGAATCAAGATACTTTCTTTGTACAATATATATTTTTTTCAATTTGTTTTTATTCATTTATCATGTGTTACAAAACTCCAGAATTATAAAGATTAGCTGTGATGTGAGATTTCACCCAAATGAAATGCATCACCTATCTTTGGAGGTTTGTGGTCTCCTGTGTGACTGAACACACATGGGAGAGTATCTGTACTCTGCTTCCCTAGAATATCCCACATATCCTAGACACTGTTCTAAATTTCCATATGCTAGTCATTTGCCAAGCTCCTAATCCTTAGAATAAAAATGGAGATTGAAATATTCTCTTGCTATTAATAAATGTTTTTCCTTAGACAAACCACCCTTTCAACAGTACCTCCTTATGCATTAGGACATAAAAACAAAAACCACTTGTGTTTTCTAGTGGTTTGACATAAATGAAAGCACCACATTTCGGGTGTTGTAGCCTTTTGGTCCCAGAGCCATTTATTCCAGTATTATGACTTGCAGTATTTTCAGCAAACCAACTAAAACTGATAGGAATTCATGCAAATAAGCTTAAATTTTGGCTTGTCTTCAAACACTCCATTTCCATAAATATTTTATGCAGGTTTTCATGAGTCTTTTATTTTTGTTAAAAAAAAATTCAATGCATTAACCTCATCACAAGTGCACTATTTCAAATATAAAAGAATGAGTATTACTCACAAACTTGGGGGTGGGAGGTTGTATATAGTATTATATTTTATTATTCAAATTATAGCTATCTCTTCTGCTGTATTCTGGTACTGTGAACAATAACTCAGACCTGAAAAGAATTTTGGGACTGTAAACCATTTTTACAGAACAAGGTAAATGGGAGTGGGAAAGGGGTGGGAAGGAGAAATCTTTAAGGACATAGATTTCTCTTCAAAGCATGTTTTGAGTTGTATAAAGAGAGCCACTTATTTTTCTCAGAAATTTTGCTTTTAATGGATTGGGCTCCCTTGCATTTCAGTATGATGGAAAATATTTTTTAACTTTTATTTTAAAAAAGATTTATCTTTTAAATATGGAGACAAAACAGAGTATTCTAGAAGCAGGTTACTACTTTTCAGTAGTACTTTCATTATATGTTACTTTGTTAAAGAATTCTACCCAATGGATAAGCACAAAAATTGGGGGGAGGGTGATTATTTGGAAACTTCCTAGTTAATTTTGTTTCTTCTACATATTACATGATTTTTACCATGTAATAGCATTTTGTCTAAAAATATTTTTAAAAGACAGTGTAAAACCAAAAAACCACATTAGACATAAGAGGAAGAATTAACTGGTGTGTGATTCTGGGTTGGGCTGGTGTTTTATGTAAATGATCTGCTTGCAAGCTTATCTCCCCAAGTGTAGGATAACTGTGTTACCCCACCACTGACCACCTTGACACATTCCATTTATATTACATTTTCTTTAGGATTGAAAAAGAACATTGGAGGTTTAAGACCAGCTGCTTCTGTTTAAACCCAACTGTTTCAGAGCTGTAGCCACATAGCTAGGGTCTGATGTCATCTCAAGGCTGGACATAATATATTCTAACTGATCCTAAAAGTATATGCATGCCTCCCCTTCTGTGCATAATTCCCACGATAGACTGTATTTTAGAGATGTACTCAGAGACACTGTGACGTTCAAATAAAGAAACCCATACCACCACACCATTTACCCACATTAGTAATTATTTTGGTCCCATTTTCTTCTGATATTTTCATGACTCTTAATTAAAAGAATTCAAGGACATACTAAATACTCATGTAAGAATGATAACATTTCTGGTTATACCTACGGAGATGCAGGCTGTCTCGATGTCCTGGACCTACGGTTCTTTCCATCCGTAAATTTCTGTTTCTATATTGGATAAATATGTGTGTATGAAGATAATATATTGATTTATTAAAAAGCCACAAGGCAAAGCAGAAATATATATATAACAGAAGCTGCGGCTTCTAAGTGAAGCTTCATGAGGAAGCAGGGAATTGTGTACATAGTTAACTTATTCACACCTAGATGCATGGGACAACATACATACACACATACACAGCACAGAGAAAAATGGCGTGCATTACTGGGTAAGATGGCATATGATTCTGCATGCTTAATCATAACAAGCACCAACTGCAACAATCCTTCATGAGCATGGCAGCTTGGTTTTCTCATGGTCACTGTGGACGATCTTTACAGTGCATCAAAAACATCTAAGCTGGATTTTTTAATGCTAGTCCAACATGACTGGCACCCTCCACCCCCAGCAGGAGCAGTCAATGGAGATTTACTGACCTGTCTCTGCTTCGGCGAGAGGGGAAGGCAGCATTGCAGCCAGCCACCGTGCAGACATGCATCTCTTTTAAGTGAACATTCCTGTAGTGAAGCTTCACACTGTAGGAGCTTTTGAAACTCTTCTTGCACACGTAACAGATTTTGGGATCTGGACTAGAACACAGGTCACCTTCTGGGGAGAACTTTTGAGGGCTGCCATAATTCAGAGACGATGTAAAACTTTCATGCAGGGCTGCCATGCTGGCACCCCCACCATTGTACAGTCCATACTGGCTCATGTAAAACATGTCATAAGTGGGATCTGTAAATTCTTCCTTCACCTTGATGACATCTTGGTGAGAAGGCTCACTGTGGTTCTCATCGGGCCTCTCACTGCTCATTAGGACTTTCTCGCTCACTTCACTGTGAATGTGCTCATCCCCTTCCATTGACTCCTCACCTAGTTTGGGCTCTGAAGACTCTGACTCATTCTCATAGTCCCGCTCAGGTTCTTGGTCCTCAGAAGTCATGCTGTCAGCCCTTCTTATTTCCGTCCTTGAAATGCACCGGGTCCTGCTATGTTTAGAAAAGTCCTTCACAGACATGCCTGGACTCATCTCCTCTTGGGAGTGGCAATGATTGTCATGGCTCACATTGTTGACCACAGCCCCACCATCGTTGGGGTCATCATCTTCATCATCAAACTCATCAGCGGTATCAATGATTTCCTTCTCAATCTTCACAGGCATGCTGGACTTCCTGGGCTTCTTCTTGGGTGCCAGGTCCGCACTGGGCTCATGAGTGGCCATCATCACTACAGGTGCTATGGGCTCAGAGGGTGGTGGCGGGTGCTGCTCTATGGTACCACTGGCTGGAATGATGGGACTGGTTGGGAGGGAGGTTGGAGGGCTCACCATTTCCCCCGGAGTGAGTAAACTTCTATAAAATGGAGGAACTGGTTGTACAGTCTTTAGCCCAGAAAACACCAGCTGGCTAGGCAGAGGATTCTGTAAGACAGGGTCTAGTGGGGGAGTGGTAAAACCCATTGGGGGCCGGCCAGGGCTTGTGAGTGTGAGATTTGATTTTGTACTTGCTATGACAGGGGTGGCAGCTCCTGATGTGGCCCGAATTAAATCTTTGTCTCGGTTATTTCGTAGCATGGGCATGTGAAGGCGAGGATTAGGGTTTGCACTGTGGCGATTTCGGCTTCGGAGGGAGCTAAAGACCATGTTGCAACCTTCAATGGTGCATCGGTGTTTGATCTTCAGGTGAACAGCATTGTAATGAATTTTGAGAGTACCTTTGTCATAGAACGTCTTCCCACATGCATTACAGAACACTCTTCCTTTCCTGGAGGCTGACCCCATCCTTCTCATCCGGTGAATCCGGAATGAGCTTTTTGGGTGTTCAGTTTTGGTCAGATCACTGACTGGGGCAGAATTCTGAATGGGGGATACACAGGCTGGCTCGGTTTTGGGCTCCACATTAGTAATGCTGGTCAGGGCATTTCTATTGGGAGTCTGATCATTCTTATAAGGTGTGGGAGATACTTCAGATTCACTGCTCTCATTGTATTCATTCTGGGTTGAAAGGCTGGGTTCCCGCAGCCTCAGTCCTGGCTGCTCCAACAGTAACCCGTTTGGAGGCAATCCTAGCAGTGGGGCTGAGACTGGGTTTATGTACTGGAATGGAAGCAGAAATGCAAGGCTGTTGGGGATGTTTTCGAAGTGATGAATGCTGGAAGGGTTGCTGTTCTCTAGGTGAGCTAGAAGGCTGGGACTCCGGGTGCGATTATTGCTCTCAATGAAAGTCCTTATGTCTGAGTCTGTTTTTGAAGACGGTACAGCTACGGCCTGCCCTTCCTTCTCCTGAATTGCCATCAGCTCCACAATGGACTTGGTTTCTCCAAACCGCAGAAACTGCTGAAGGGTGATGATTTCCTCTTCTCGAGACATGATGGCCCAGCGGTCCAGTACCTTGCCGGCAGCATCCTAGAGGCCATATCAAAGAAATAACAAAGATAAACACAAAAACTTATTGATTCTGCATAATTATTCAATGCAACTGAAGGCTCTCTGCCTGCTCATGAACACTGAGAGCGACAGCAGAAAACACGCAAGCACTGTTCATAAAAGTCAACCCAGAAAGCAAACTTTTCTGCCATGCAATTATAGTAATTAGAGTCACAGTTAGAGAAACAGATTTGAGTTTAATATCAAAGCAAACAAAATGTAGACCATTGGGGCTCTGTGATCTAACATGCCTTTATTACTGCTATTTTAACAACAATGGTCTATACAGTATGCAATTATTTAGCACATATTAGTATAAGATGTGAACTCTTGTGCAACCCAGTAAAAACACACAAAAAATGGTTCCTTAATCTGTATTAAATAGTGACACCATAGGAAGAGATTAAATACATTTTGTGAAATTTACCTCTTTGATACAAGCAGACATGATACTGGCTTCAACGATGAAAATTCCTTTAAATTGGAGCTATTATATAACTTTCCGAATTAAAAAAAATGAAAAAGGTAGCTTTGCCTTCTGTTGCCCCCATTACTAAACTGTATTTTTTTTCTCTTTAATGCCCGGGTTTTAGTGTCATTTACTAATAGACAATCTCATAAGGTAGAGTTAAGAAAAAACAGTGATTGCACTTTTCCTGAAAATTGATTATAATCCTATGATTCAAAGTTTGAGTTAGACTTTAAGTATTTGACTTCTGATGATCTTGTTATAAATGACAGTTATAGATATTTAGAAAGTAAACATGTGATGGATTTAGATAGAATAAATGTGTAAAAATGTTGTCTCTTAACATCCTCCTCTGATAGCAAAGGGAGTCCACAGAGAATACACATCAGTAATCACCAGACTATGTGTTGTTAAATATACATTAAAAAGCATTTTACACTTTCATTTTTGCTAGTAACTATGAGATTTGCCTGGAGGTAGGACTTAAAAATCCTGCAATCCAATGTCAGGCAATCCATTTCAGAATGGATTGGGAGAAAAGTATTCAAACACTTAAATAATGACTCCATCATTTTTTAGAGCACATCTTCTTCCTAACTAGGACAGGACACTTGGCAATCCCTGTGAATAATACTTGCCCCAACCTGTCTATCAATTTAAGAAAGCAGAAAATTTTCTTAAAAAAACCAAATTAGGTACTAACTACAAAGAGAAAAACCGTAACATTACAATGAAGAAACCTAGCAGACACCACCTTAACCACATAATCAAAGTCAACATCACCAGTATGAGTATCATCATGTACCTCCTGATATATACTGACAAGGGCATATCATCCCTTTCTTGCCAAAAAATGTATAACCTCAATCTAAATCATGAGAAAACATCAGATAAATCAAAATTGAAAAGCATTCTACAAAACAGTGTTAAGTACTCTTCAAAGTGTAAATGTCAGTAAAATTTTTTTTAAAAAGGACTAAAGAATGGTTACAGATTGGAGGGAGCCAAGAAAACATGACAAATAAATATGAGATTCTAGAGATATTAGACTAGAAAAAGGTCTTTAGAAGGCAACCTGGCAAATTTGAGTAAGTCTTTAGATCAGTTAATAGTATGGTACCAACCTAAATTTCTTAGTTTCATCAGCTGTGCTATGTTTATGTAGAATGTGTCATTAGGGGAAGCAGGATAAAGGGAACTATATACTATTTTTGCAATGGAAAATTCTGTCTTATAGATGGTTTTATTCAACCTTGTGATATAAAATTCTCTCTGGACCACAGTTGTCCGAACCATGACAACTACTTTGATTGTAAGGAGATACTTATCATTTATTTAAATTACTCTACAAAACAGAAGCTCTAATAGTTATGTGCGATTCCTTATAAGGCTCACTCTAGCACTCTATCATTTTACATAAAGTATACATGTGGGTATGTGCATGTAGGTGTCCAAATCCTATGAAAATTATCCCTTTTTTATCTTGTAGATAATATGAACCTTCAAATTAAATATCCTCATGCAGCTATATGCTCAGATATATAATGATGTGTATACACGGTGATGCTGGATGATCCTGGAGTCCTACAACAGCCAGTTTTTAAAAAGTATCAATCAAAACAATTGGTCTCCCTTACATCATTTTTTTAGAATAGGGGAAAGCAAGGGGGGAGCATTGGTGCTGTAGGTAAATAGAGAAATAAATTGTGATTTTGTATAGATTATCTCATTTGAACCTCATAATAGCTTCCAGATCTCAGCAAATTTGTAACAGATGAGGGACCAGGGGTGAAGGAAAGGGGTATGGCTGGTTGAGGTTGCCAAGATGCTAACTTGGGTTCTAGGATTTAGATCCAGAAATTCTGACTCTCAGTTCATGGAGTATAATGACTATCATCCATAATGCCATTTCCCAGGTGGACACACTGAATCTATGACAGTAAAGAATAGGACTTCTGCTGAACAAGGCTGGTCTCTAGAGCACTGTAATGTCCTCCTCTACAGTGTTTTTCTCCTACTATCAAATCCACTCTCTTGATTGTTCTTTTATGGAAGCTTTTACTGTGGATCGTTTCTCAGGCTGCAATGCGACCTGAGCAGCACACAGTCATTTCTTCTCAGGTAGCCTTCACCTAAGTCTGCATGTCGATAATGTACTTACACAGCTGGCCGCCTGTGGTATTAAAACAGCCCTTAGAAACCATGGCAACTGATCAAACCCACCTGAGGCATCTCCTTTCCATCACCCTCCTATCTTGTCTCCCCCAACAGAACACAGCAGTCCCATATGGTTTCTCTTTTCTCCTGGCCCGCCACAATGCCTGCTGCTATTTCTAAAACCACTGCCTTTCAGACCTCTTTTAGTCCTGAGTAGCTGTCTCCACTAAAATGGAACTGTTACGTTAAACCACTTACTTCTGGTGGAAGAGGTCCAGGTAAGCAAGATTTAGAACTCTGCTGGTAGCCTGAATCATAAAAGAGAAGCTTCATTTATACTCGTAATGGAAACAGTGATTTATACTTACATAGGACAATATAACATCCTTGCAAACAAATATGCTTGGGAACAGGACAAACATCCACATTATCCGTTCAAACTGGGGTCCCCCTGACAGGGCACCCTGAATCCAGGCAATATATAGTGCCACAGAAGTTCCTTCCAAAGAAGTCACCATTCATATTTGATCAAAAGTATCTAGTATCATCACGCTCATAAATAGAGCAACTGCAGAAAGAAAAAGTTGACTTTCTTATATACTAACATCATGGGTCTGCAAGCTCAATGCTAGTAATGACTATCTGTTTTAGTACATCTTCGGATAAACTGGCTGAATGGGAGTTGGAAGTCATCAAAGTGCAAAAAGAACCTGGGGTTCTTTTCTCCTGAAAATCTCAGTAACAGAGAGAGATAAGCATGCTCTGGATGCAGTGATTCTTAAAACAGTGGCTTGAGACTCCTGGGTCAAGGCAAGAATTTCCACAAGTGGTCTATATGTTTTTCAAAAAGGACCAGTGTCAATTTTTTTTTAAACCAACCTTCAGATAATTGGGAGTAATCATTTAGAAGGCTTTCAGACAATGTGACATCTGCTGCAGCAACAAAAAATGATTTTTAAAATTAATTTATTTTTATTTTATTCAACTTAAATATTTGCTCAAAACTGATGGTGGGGTATGGGTCCTTCTTCACAGACAAATCGAGAAGTACAGATCTAAAATCTCAGCCCCCTTGGCACGTCAAATAAACTTTACCAGAGTGAATAAAAGCCAAAAGAAGAGTTAGGTATTGTCAAAGAAACATTAATAAAACAAAATTCAGTCTGGTAGACCACTATGAATGTGGGTTGCCCAACATTCATACTGGACATGGGTCTACACAGGAATAATATACATCACATCAGAGTGTGTAAATGTACTCTTGTCTTTCCCATTCCATTTTGGAGTCTGTGGGTCACTTTCTTAAGGCTTTTGCCATTTGTAACCAGAGTTCAGTGATCTTTAAAACTTTTCATTGGGAATTGTTATTTACAAAATGAGGATAATAAGACTTACCCTGTTAAGAGAAATGCAAGGTATTATTATAAGTATTGATTTCTTGTGAAATAACCAGCTATACTATTCATTAAAAGATGAGTGAAACCAAATAATCCTGACTTATAAACCAGTTTTACTGGGTTCAGAAAAAGTATAAGACACTTGAAATATTTACATATAAGTATTTTAAATGAAGAGACTTCCTTTTATTATTTTGTTGGAACCGGTGATTATCACTCAGTAGAAATCTGGCACCTATATGGCTCTGCAGAATGCTTTTTAAAAATCTTTTGTAGTAGAGTCAACTGTCATGGTTTCAATGGTTTTATTTAAGTCCTTTTTTTCACATTAAAATACTGTATATGACCTGCAGTTTTAAGATCAAAGTAAGTTTGGTTCTTCTTACTTAAGGAAAGGATGTAAAGAGATGGAACAGGGACAAGATAAGAAAATTCGGGATAAGTAGATTGTCAGATGACCTCAAGCCTACAAAACTCCTCAGCCCAAAAAGGAACCCATCTGTGTTCATGGCAGGCCACTACATGCCACAGCACAGGGAGGAAAATAATGCCTTTCTTTCTGTCCATGCATGTAAATGAGGGAGAAACAGTGAATACAGTAGAGATCTAGGACTTATTTGTTCTAGCATTACTCAAATTATTAAGAAATTAAGCAAACAGTTTAACTCTAAAAAAAAAAAAAGACAGGCAGAGAATAGTTTAATTTTCTATTCTTACTCCATGAATTTCTTGTCAGTCAAATTTAAGGCATATATTTAAAAATAATCCTAAAATGATTAGCTAAAAATATTTCCTCTTTGATATAATTTTAAATCTCTTAATTAAATGATATTGAGCTATAGAAAATGCTGACCATCTAGTACAAGATCAGAGGTTTATTCGATGTACTTTTTGATTTCATGTCTAGATTTGAAGTGTGCTATCTTAAGAAAGTATTCCTTTTTTTTTTCTTAAAGATTTTATTCATTTATTCATGAGAGACACAGAGAGAGAGGCAGAGAGAGAGGCAGAGGGAGAAGTAGGCTCCATGCAGGGAGCCTGATGTGGGACTCAATCCCAAATCCTGGGATCATGCCCTGGGCCAAAGGCAGATAGATGCTCAACTGCTGAGCCACCCAGGCGTCCCATTTAGACAGTATTCCAAATAACCATATTGGCTACTTATTTTTATGACCAGTTTCCAACTGGAATTTTGTACTGTTTATCCTTCAGGATTAATTCAAATATCAAGGCAAGAGGAATAGGGTTTGGTAGAAGGTAGAGAGTTACCAAATTTCAAGACTATGTAGCTTGGCACTCTATCCGGTAAAATTTAACAGTAATTGCAGAATTAAAAATTGATGAAACAATGCTACGAATCATTGATTTTACCTGGTTTTCTAGATGTTTAAGTCTTAAGGGTAAACAAAGGATGAGAGAGCTAGATGAAGGAATATCAATAAACACTTAAAAGGAATAAACTAGTGATACAAAGTAAAATATGAAGGACTCTCAAAAGCATTAATGTTTAAAAGAAAGAGATTAGACTCAAAAGGCTACCTATTCTACCATTCTGATCACAGAAATTCTGGGAAAGGTAAGACTGAACAGAAGAAAGATCAGTGGTTGCCAAGGAGTGAGGGAGGGGACAGGGGCTGACTGCAAAGAACACTGAGGAACTTTGTGGGGTGATGGAAACATTCTAGATCATGACTATATACTATATACACTTTAATACACATGAATATATACACTTAAAATCAGTATGTTTCACTGTATGCAAAATATGCCTTAATGAAGTCGACTTAAAACATTAACTCATATAAATTGCATAAAATCATACTTAGAACTCGAGAATTCATAAATTTCCCCATTTTTTTTTACAGATTTTATTTATTTATTAGAGACAGAGAGAGAAATGCAGAGACACAGGCAGAGGGAGAAGCAGGCTCCACGCAGGGAGCCCGACGCAGGACTCGATCCCGGGTCTCCAGGATCACGTCCCAGGCTGCAGGCAGCACTAAACCGCTGTGCCACCAGGACTGCCCAAATTTCCCATTTATATATCATCTTATTTCTTGTTTCCTGCCTTGTTTTGTGGCCGGAATAACAAACACACACGTCTCTCCCATCAGTAGGGTATGCCCCATAATCCACTGTGACATTGGAAGTAAACAAAAGTTTTCCTTTTTCTTTTTTTAACCTAAAAGATTTTTATTAATATTTTATTTTTTATTTTTTTAAAGATTTCTTTTATTTATTTATTCATGAGAGACACACATAGAGAGGGAGAGGCAGAGACACAGGCAAGAGGGAGAAGCAGGCTCCATGCAGGAAGCCTGATGTGGGACTCAATCCCAGGTCTCCAGAATCATGCCCTGGGCTGAAGGCAGGTGCTGAACCGCTGAGCCACCCAGGGATCCCCTTACTAATATTTTATATGTGGCTTTACAGCAATATGTTAAACTAACTTAGAAATAGTTGTAAATATATTAAGCTCCAAGCTCATATATTTTTACCAAAGGGGTGTTCAGTCATAAAAACTAGAGATTGCTTTCCTACACAGTTAATACGGACACGTGGCAGACAGGTAGTATATGCACACACATCTTCACGAACACTTTGGATGATGTTGATGAGGAACTGTCAGCTAATTCACCTTAGCTCTCCTCTACTTCGTGCTAGACTCTTGGTTAGGTGGACATGTGTCAGGATGTGACCCAGAAATTAGGAAATATATCATCTAATTGCTGGGTCACCTCAGGAGCAAGCAATGGGCTCAGACCATTATCTCGATGATATAAACAGGGGTATTCCATCAACTTAACAGATGGGGTCTGAGAACAGAGATCATGAGTGCCACTCGTGGGTGGAGAGGGCAGACTGAGGACTAGAAGTAGCAAGAGTTTGAGGGAGATACTCTGTGGAAAGGAAGCCTTTGAACATTACACATTTTTTTTTTTAAAAAATCATAGAAGTCATAAAACTTTCAGCCCTCCTTTGTCCCATTCTCCCACTGGTTACCTGTTTTAGAACTTAGATGGGTCTGCATATAACTTGCAGATATTTCCATTCAAACAGTCTACCTAAAGTCAAGCCATTGTGAAAACATTTTTCTTCAGCCAAAAAACTGAACTGGTCTGGGTGCTCCCCACTTACATCACGACCAATCCCCGCCCCCTTCTTGTTAAATTTTATCTATCTCTATAATTTATGACTTGGCAATCCTAAATGTGGATGGGTCAAAGTTTTGTGTGTCTATGTGCCTGCATGTATGTGTATGTAAGCAGGAAAGAAGGGGAGAGGAATAAAAATGGTCAAAGAAAAAAAATTATTGAAAGGAATAGATTCTGGGAAGTACTTAGGGAAATTTTTTAAGCAATGTTGTGATAATTTCTGAGAAACACTTGAAATTATGTGGGAAAAGAACTTGGCATGCTTATTTGTTTTAGCAAATTTACATTTAAACACATATTTCTTGGAGGGCACTGATTGAGAAAGATGTACCACTAGCATATACAATATACACTGGAGCAGTTTGGTTGTATAAGTAAACAAAATTATACCATTCTTTATTCACACAGAGCTCTTTTATGTGATTGTGCTTTTCCACCACTATTTTAGGCTAATGTTTCTAGGCCAGCTGAAACAACTGTAATATCTGTAGGCAGAATGAAAATACTCATTTATACCATGATTGCACCAAATGGTTCAAATTAGACCTGATAAAAAAAATCAACATTTGTTTTGGGTAATGAAAACCCTACTCAACTTCTATGATTTGGAAATTTGTATTTTGCAGAATTTCTCAAGAGCATCACTTTACCTTCAAAATATAAAGCTGACCAGTCACATTCTTGCTTCCTCTGCTCCTCTCTAAGACTGAGTACCATGAGAAAGAATCAACAGAGTGTGGCACAGACAGAAAAGAAAAACTACTAACTAATAGTAATCAGGACTGTACTTTATTTGTTAACATTTGTCCACATGAACATCCCCTTTGGAAAACAAATATGCTTTCCTCATCAACCCAGGACCGTCATAGTTATTAAAATGAGCATGCAAACATTAGAGCTAGGTATAGTTTGGCTTGCTGTGATTATAGAAGCTGGTGATAAATTCAGAATGTCCAGATTATAAAAATCTTGATTTGAAATATCAAGATATTTCTGATTGAAATATCTTTCTGATTCAGATAAGGAGAAATGAATGCTACAGGAATATCCATCATTGGTTAGAATGCTAGAACTCTTAGAAAACTTTGCATTCCAGAATTTTCTCTCAAAAGGAAAACCTTAGGGACACGTGGGTGGCTCAATGGCTGAGCGTCTGCCTTCAGCTCAGGGCATGATCCTGGAATCCGGGATCCAGGATCAAGTCCCACATTGGGCTCCTTGCAGGGAGCCTGCTTCTCCCTTTGCCTCTCTCTCTGTGTCTCTCATGAAAAAATAAAGAAAATCTTTTTTAAAAAAGGAAAACCTTAGTCCTTGTTAGCGGACATGCAAACACTGAAGTCTGCTCTCTATAAATACTGTTTGCGCATAGGGATTGGCTTTAAAAGAGTTACTTATTATACAGATCTGCATGTACTGAAATATGCACATGTACATAGAGACTGTATCACTCTTGGTTTACTCTTACTGTACATGAACCTCATTATAAGTCAGTCTTAAAACATTCCAAGTGCTGGATTATGGAGAATGGTGGTACATTGAAGTAAGGCATATTCAATTAACTGCAAAAAAAGTACAAAGTCAAGGAATGCCTCTCCTTGGATGGAACTAGAAGTTCCATGGTCCTTGATTGGAATTGGTAGCAGAAGAAGAAAGCAACATGGTAATTTTATGTGACTTTTAGGCACTAGTGTTGACATTTTTCAATATATAATAAACCTCAACACTTTCTGATCCACAGTTGAAAATACTTTTCACTGAAAAAGGTATTTTTTAAGAGAAAAAAAAATTATTGAAAAATTGAACAATACATCCTCCCAAACTGATCACCTCTCTAACTAAAATAACATTATCAAAATGCCAGGGCACTAGTTTTAAATGGTTCCTGTAATTTTTAAAACATATTGTTTGACTTTTGATAGAAAATTCACTTTGCTATAGAATGTTCTTCATTATGGACCAGATAAGAATATATAATTCAGAGAGGACTATCACTTTTTTTTCTCCCTTAGTAACAGTCTGTACAGCATTTTTACTTTAAAAACTGTGATGATGATAGATCACTCCAGTGTTACAATATACCTAATCATAGACTCCCCAGCTAAACTCTATTAAAGGCCTGTCAGGATTTCTTCTTTGTACTCAGGAATTTTAGCTTGTTTAGCTTAAAACAACCATATGCATTTCCTCTATGGGCATTTGTTTGCAAATAAATAAAGCAGGTGCCTTGCTTTTCCATATTAAAAAAAATTCAGGGACGCCTGGGTGGCTCAGCGGTTGAGCGTCTGCCTTCGGCTCAGGGCGTAATCCTGGAGTCCTGGGATTGAGTCCCACATCTGGCTCCCTGCAGGGAGCCTGCTTCTCCCTCTATCTATGTCTCTGCCTTTCTCTCTGTGTCGCTCATGAATAAATAAATAAAATCTTTAAAAAAATTACAGCAGAGGAAATTACTTTCTGTAATGTTTACATGATTCAAAAAGTATTTTTCAAATTACCTAACTCTATTGTAAATCAAACTTGAGAGACTTTTAAAGACATGGTATATTTTAGTATTTATTAATAGTATATTAGGAATCATTTAAGTGTCTAAATAGAGATATTAAACCCAGCTGATATTCCTAGCATACCAAATTCCAACATAGAACTACCCGTGTCCTTAGTGTAAGCACAGGATATCTAACTCTGCACCTGCAAGCTAAAACAGAATTTGCATCTTAAAGTTTCAGATGTTGATTCATTTAACATAATTTATAGAGTCAACCTCAGAGGGAAATAAAAATTGTAAGTGAGTAACACCTAAGTTCTAGTCTTGGTTTTGCCAGTGACCAGCTGGGTTGGCTGTCAAACCACCAATACCCAGCTTACGCTTTCTCCTAGGTAAGTCAGTCTGACTATATTTTCTAGGCCTTGCTACACCAAAATTCCATTATTTGACTCTCAAATTCCATCATTCTTCTATCTATGCCTACAGTCTGGACACATAAATAATTTTAATTAAAATTAAAATGTTTTAAGCTCTAGGCTATTATTTTTCCTTTTAACCTTGTCTGTAGATTATTTTTAGAATGCATTCATTTGTGATTGAAAGCATGCCCTCATCTGAGAGTTACTGTATTATGTCCTATATTCTGGATGCCTCCCTTGATGCCTCTGTCTGGGGCTCCTTATCAGTGACATAATTAGAGGTATTCACTTTTCTGGATTAATCAGTTTACTCCTAGTCAATTCAATGATCAGCTCAAGTGGAAACTTTGCCTGAAAACTTAGGAAAACTGCTCAAAAAGTCCCTAAGAGGCCATGGGAACCCCTCAAAATCCCATCAGTTAGGGTTTGTGAGAACTCTGCAACCTGAGAATCAACCATTCCAAAATAAATGCTGTTCCTCCATAAAGCTGTAAGTAACTATCTCTGGTCTTCCAGCAACCTTTGCAGTTCCAAGGAAGAGCAGTATTTGCATATAAGACCCTCCCTCCAATTAAACCCTTTAAAAGGACACAAGTTATTCATTCGACAATGATCATCACTGAGATGCTAGAAGTAAATCATTTTAACATTCAGGATAGCAAAGCAGCAGTTTGAAATACTCACAATGATGACAATGGCAACAGGAAGAAAGAAAAGGATGGCCCCTGAAAGTGGTCTTGTTTCCTTCTCCTCTCAGACATGAAGATAAAGCACGAGCCCTATGACAGTTATAAATCTGTTTGCTTTGCAATAAACATAACTTACCAGAGCCCTAACATTTTTGCTTTGAAGATGACATTTTCTCCTTTACCTCTCTTTCTACAACCAAAGTTCTGCCACTGGATCCATAGAAAGCATCCATATATCTCTAGGGGTCTGTGGTGGGGCTTTACATATCTAAATATAAATGCTTGAGACCCTGGCATTTCCTGATGTGCTTTCCTATAATGTCTGATAAAGTTTCACAATGAAAGTGATTTTACACATCAAGTAGGGGCCGAAACCTTGGGACAAATTCAAGGCCACAAGCTCTGAGCTTTGCCATTTTATCTGTGCAACCAAGGATAGCCCAATGTGATCATAGCTTCCAAAGCTTGAAAAGATGATTCTATTTCACATATTATACTTTGAATTACTCTACAACTGGAGATGACTGCACAACCCTAAGGAACTTTAACATATTCCTTAGGATATGAGGGAGCAGGAGTAGAGAGGGCCTGAACACTCACTAAGCAGTATTCCATAAAACAGCAAGGATTGAGTATTCTATAAAACACACAGAGGATGGAGTGCATGATTGAAGAGAAAGATGTATTGGGAGATTTAACTTTGTTCTTCTCTGGGCATAAGAACGGCAGTAGAACACAAAGATTAATTTCCTGCTTTAGCATTCATCAGGGAACAACACATTATTACTTGTAATACATACACAAGGCTGTTGATGGATATACTTTCCTTTGATTGCTGAGATTAAATGTGTTCTATAAAAGGCACCCCCCACACGTGTATGTATAATTATAAATCCACGTATGCATTAACAGTTTCTATATATTTATAAGCAGCTATCAAAGCAGATATTACACATTTTATTTGGTTACAAAGTCGAAGTGATTTGGGGTTGGTGGCTGCCTGAACAAATATAGATCAAAAACAGAATAATCAGTTACTAATCAATATATGTTACTATAACAAAAAACTCAGAAATTCAAAATAAAGGAGGATACGAGGAAGAAGCATGCATTATAGAGCAAGGTAATAACCATGTCTGCATGTCTTAATACCCTCTTGTCCCAGCAGTCCTGACTTTCTAAGCAGCCCACTTCTCCACATTAACGGTAGTCATTTGGAGAGCAGCAAACGTGCCATTAGAAGCACTTTTACAAGTGTATATTCATCCACCAATTAGCTTAATGTGGCCGCTTTCTGCATATTTTCTATCCAGGCTTGCACAAATCTTATTAATATTTCCCCCTAGCGCTTTGACAGATTACCTTGTCATTACGCATCCTGGAGCCTTTTAAACAATATGGGTAAACTACTGTTTGTGAGGTTAATGACAATTATCCCCTAATTACTGCATAAGTCACTCAGTCCACTTTATCTCATAGGCAGGGTTCTGCTCTGTGTATCTGCCATTGTGTCACTGTAAATGAATCTTGTATTGCTATGTTTATCTGCCACTGTCTTGTAAATTATACTGACAGAAGAATGAACAAATTACTGCATGTCATCACTTAAATACTGCTTCTGAAATTTAAAAAAAAAATGCTTCGACAGAGCACTTCAATTGTGATTTTAGCAGATCACAATTAGTAAAAACATATTTAATGTTTTATGTTACATTTCCAAGCTGATTATGTGGAATTCAGTAGTGGCGTCACAACAATGACACGGAGGGTAAATGGAAGGGGAAGAGCAGTAAGGGGTGAGAGGGTAAGAGGGGGAAAAGATGCACACTGGACTCCCAACACCAGCTCAACCTCTTGAAGGCATTTCCTAGAACTTTATCGCTGATAGGGCATCCTTGAGGTATTTCTCATGATTTACCAATTCTGAAACAAATTCGATGGGTTAGGGATAAGCCACACTCTTCAGCTGGGATCATTATTTATTTACTTATTTATTTATTTAGGTTACTTAGAACCAGTCCACACATAAAACACAGAATCCGTGTCACTGAGAACAGATAATGTAATAAAAGCCATAGGCTAAGCCAATTTCATTGACGCATTTTTAAACATTATTAAACAGGGTCAGAACACAGTTTCCAAAGCTACATTTGAAATTGTTTAACAATGTTTAAGTCAATGAAATCAGTTTAGCCCAATGCCCTATCAGGGTGACTACATCTGCTCTGATAACAGGGAACATCGGATGATACAAGCATCTTTTTTTTTTTAAAGATTTTATTTATTTATTCATGAGAGACACAGAGAAAGAGAGAGAGAGAGGCAGAGACACAGGCAGAGGAAGAAGCAGGCTCCGTGCAGGGAGCCCAACGTGGGCCTCGATCCCGGTCTCCAGGATCAGGCCCTGGGCTGAAGGCGGCGCTAAACCACTGAGCCACCCGGGCTGCCCAACAAGCATCTTAAAAAAAAAAAAGACAGATTGAGTCAATTGCAAATAATCTGGAAATTTATGATTCTGCAGATTATCAAGTAAATAAACATTTGCGTGAGAACAGGCAGAAACATTTGGCTGAGATGACTGCCATTTAACGAGTATACTAAAACATTTATTTTGAAGTGTGAACCATTCAAAATGTCTCCATTTAAATGACACCAAGGTAGCTGATAACTGGCAAGTGTAAATAACTGGGCCACACCAATCTGAAGGATGGCTTTCAACTCTCAATGAGTGGGTGTGTAGAAAGCTTGCATCAAATCCCCAAATGACAGCCATGAGTTTGTAAGGGAGGACTCATAGCACTGGCAATAATAAAGCTATCTGGTGGATGCATGCATGCGCGCGCGCACACACACACTCACGGTACCTCTTGGTGTGCTTGCTGAACAGGCTGGAAGAAAAAGCTGCAGCAAAAAGAAAGAATAACACGAAAGCCAGAGTTGCCAGGCCCCTCAGATTCTAGCACAATCCCTAGGGCTCCCTTGGCTCCCCAAAGACTGATTTTAGTGTCTGTCCTGCATTCAGTCAATACAGCTTCAACCAACAAATGCTGGAGGCAAAAATGAAAGTGCTATACAATTTTCTTTTCTTTTTAGTGTGTTAGACCAAAGAGATCCCAGTTAAGACTGACATCACTGTGACAACCACTGAGGGGTTAAAATTCCCCCTCCCCCCTTTTTTAAACTGTTCAGGCTATCTCTGGAGACAGAACTGGAGAAAGTCAGTTTTTACTGCCAGTAACTTTCTTTTTCTTTTAATACTGTGTTTTGTTGCCCTTTGTTTTTTTATACCTTGCTAATCATATTGCTTATCTGGTTGGGGGTGGGGGGGAGACAATATGCATTTAGGGGAGATAAGCTCTTGGTGTTACCTCAAAAAAAGGAGCACAAACAGTATTTTCTTGAGTTGGTGAAGTTAGGGCTGTTATAGAAAGGGAGACAATCATGAAGGATCAATACAAATGCCAAGAGGTACCTGGGTGTAAGTTAACAGGCAAAGACAGTCATTAAGGAAGCAAATAGTGGGATTTTCCCAATCACCACTCTCTATGCATTTACATTAGATTTCTGAAAACTGAGACTAGGAATATCTCACTTCCTCTCCTAGCAAACTTGTACTTGTTCTCTACTGTGCACAGAATAAATAATTAAATTCCCATACCTGGTATTTCAAGTCCCATCAATAGAAACCCAACCTACCTTCCCAACATCATCTCCTGCCAAGACCTCTGATGCTCTAGCTACAAAGAGCTACTTGCCATAAAGGATTCTGAGTACAGAAAAATCTTACCTGATTCTGAACCCCTCTCTATTCTGCTTCTGTCATTCTCTTCAATGAAAGCTAAATGAAGCTCTCTATGAAATATTTCCTATCTCACTCTCTTCTTCCCTTCTCCCCATTCCCAGTAAGAATTAGCTGTTCCTTCAGTGATCTGCTCATTCTTCTGTCATGTAGGTCTCTTTATCACAAGATTACTGTACTTTATATCCCCACTACTCAGATGAATCAATACTGAGCAAATTCATTAATACTATAAATGTAGGAGTTGGGAGGCAATTTAGAGGTCATCTAGTGCTACCTTTATTATTGTACAGATGAGAAAACTAACGAAGAAGTATCTTGCCTAAAATCAGGAAGCTAAAGTATGTGGCTGACTTGGGACAAGGCAGTCAGCTCCCCTTAGTGTAGTACTTTTCTCACAAAACTATCCTTTTCTCCTGGCATAATGATTCTGGACTCCGGAAACAGAACATCCACTCCATTCCACTGCCACATCCTGGATAGATGAGTAGATTCCAATCAATTGACACTCTCTTCAAACCCATATACTGGCCCTACCTGGGAAACATTTTTTCCTTGAACTCCCCTCCTAACCATTAAGAAGGTGTCCAACAGAAACATTAAGTCTTTCCCCAAGACCATTTGTGCAGGGGAAGCAGCTATATTATCAGCATTCTGGGATTGAAAAAGGTTGAGAATGATGGTTTTAGCAAAATATACATATGGAAAATTTTGTCCTCATCATTTTTTTTTTTTTGCAAATATCAGAAAACCATCTATTGTTCTTAGAAAATGGTTTTGGCAATGATATTACATTTATTTATGTTGGACATTTTCTGGATCAAAATTAAATCCCATTGTTCATGGAACTAGAAAGGAAAATGCAACAGAATCTTTCACATGTTTGGTGTTTTGTATTGGAAAAATGCAACAACAGAGTCTTTCACATAGTGTTCTGTATACGGAGTGAACAAATTAATTAAATCTGTCAGTTTAATACTGGACACAGGAATAATAAACCATAACTACAACTATAAATATGTGTGTGTATATATATACACACACACACACACACTTTCTTCTTTCATTTCAGCTTCTGCAAATAACTCTACTTATCAATTCCTGAATCCTCATCTGGTCTTCCCATCAATCTTGTGAGTTCTCATCTCTGTCTTGCATTTGCTCCATCTCTTTCTATGAGGAAAACTTCAACTCTGAGGATTTCTATAGGGATTCCACCTACAGACCAAAGTAACTAGCCAGTTGCTCAAAAAACTATTATCTGAATTCTGAAAACAAAACAAATCAAAACAAAATCTGAAACACACAAAGGCACAGAGGCCTATTTTTTACTGAAATGTGATTTTCAAGCTAAAGGATTGCTTTAAGTAACAGAGTCTCTTTACCTTGATTTCATCATATATTAATAGGCTAAGAATAGTTACCTGTAAGACATCTGAGGATTAAACAAGATAATAATGCCTACACTCTGAACTGAGACAACAAAGACTCAAGGTAATGTATATGCATTATGTTTATCTACACTTAAATGAGGTTTGGGGTATTATTATCAAACCCACTTTATAGATGGGAAAATTGAGGCACATCACAGTTGAGTAATTTGCCTAAGGTCATAAAGCTAGTAATGTTAGGAGCCAGGATTCAAACCAGAACTCGGAGTCTAGAACTATATTGAAATGCCTTACACAGAAGGTATTCCTATCTACTCACCTCCACTTGAGCTTCCATCAGTGTGCCTCTCTGCTTTCTATTTTCCCCACTATTCTCTCTGAAATCCAGGCATGGAAAGGTAAATTCCTTTGACCAATTCCTTGGTTAACTCAGCTGTCCAGTCACACACCTGTCTCTTCAAACCTATCCTCACAAGCTTAGTGATGGCCCAAATTCCTTCCTAAGTGGATTATTGTTCCTTGATGGCCTATCTATTACTCCCCTCTCTCCACTCACATTCTGATGCCAGGCTGCTTTTCCCAAAGTATACCTCTTCATCACATTATAATCCTTACCTCGAAACTAGACTTACATAGCTCCCTTTTGCTAAATGATTTAAGTATAAATTCTTCATGTTGGCATTCAAGAACTGCCCAGATCTAGCTGCTAAGCCTTACTTCTCTTATATACACTCTCACCTTGAAGCTGAATGTGACAACTTACCTTTCAGTGAAGGCACTATACTTTCTTGAAACATCACATTTTTGCTTACGCTGTCCCTTCCGCTTGGAATGCTGTCATCAATTTTCAGGGGTCCCACTGTTGTTCAAGATCCACCTCTCAAATATCATCCCAATCATAAATCCTGTGATCTATTCAGAATCTCCATCTGTTTTTTTTTTTTTTGTGGGATTTTTTTCCCTTTAACTGTATTCCATTTTATATAGGTCACATGCAATCTGGGATAACCCCTTACAGTATAACCAGACCCTTGAGTACAGGCAGATTTCGTTTTATTATTACACTTTGCAGATATTGCATTTTTACAAATTGAAAGTTTGTGGCAACCCCGTGTGGAGCACATCTCTTAGTGTCATTTTCCCAACAGCACTGCTCACTTCAAGTCTGTGTCACATTTTGGTAATTCTCCCAACATTTCAAACTTTTTCATTATTGTTGTACTTGTTATGGAGATCTGTGATCAATTATCATCGATGTTACTATTGTAATTGTTTTGGGGCACTACAAACCACACCCATATAACATGGCAAACTTAACCAACAAATGTGCATGTTCTGACTGGTCCAGCTGTTCGCCATCTCTCTCCTCCTCCAGCCTATTCCCTAAGACACGATAACATTGAAATGAGGCCAATAATAACCCTACAATGGTCTCTAAGTGTTTAAGTTAAAGGAAGAGTTGCACGTCTCTCACTTTAAATCAAAAGCTAGAAATGATTAAGCTTAGTGAGGAAGGCATGCTGAAAGCTAAGATAGGGTGGAAGTGAAACCTCCTGCGCCAAACAGTTAGCCAAGTTGTGAATGCAAAGAAGTTCTTGAAGGAAATGAAAAGTGCTACTCCAGGGAACGCATGAATGATAAGGAAGCAAAACAGCCTTACAGTTGATATGGTGAAAGTTTAAGTGGTCCAGATAGAAGATCAAACCAACTATAACATTTCCTATGCCAAAGCCTAATCCAGAGCAAGGCCTCAACTCTCTTAGGTTCTGTGAAGGCTTAGAGAGGTGAGGAAGCTCTAGAAGAGAAACTTGAAGCTAGAAGAGGCTGGTTCATGTCATTTCCATGACATAGAAGTATAAGGTGAAGGAGTAAGTGCTGATGCAGAAGCTGCAGCAAGTTATCCAGAAGAACTAGTAAATACTTACCGAAGATGGTTACGCTAAACAACAGATTTTCAATATAGACAAACGGCCTTACATTGGAATAAGATGCTATTAGGACTTTTATAACTAGAGAAAAGTCAATGCTTGGCTTTAAAGCTTCAGAGGACAGGCTGACTCTCTTGTTAGGGCAAATG